AAAATATTTTTTATGTTATAAAGGAATGTATAGCAAAATAATTGGTAGTCTGTGTCCTATCAGGTCAAAAGTCAAAACTCGTGTTAATCAGTTTATTGGCACTTTTCGGATAAATTGGAACTAATTATGCTAATTGTTGAAAAAATTAATGAATAAAATGATATTTTGGAGAAGTTAAATGGATTTAAATAATTGAAAAGGGGGAGGGGGCACCTGCTCATGTTGTCAAAGGGTATGACATAATGTGTGCAATTGATGTGTGTCAAGAATTTATGCAATATGAATTTTGATTCTTTATATAATGTTGTAGGTGACATAAAACCCATTCCCCACCTATCCTGTTATTTTAACTGTCAAATGGAGTTCAAAAACCAAGGTATGTTTTTAACATTTGATTGTTCAGATTACACTATATTGTTAGTAGGTATGAAATGCCTAATTTCTCAAAACTTAAGCTACTTTGTGTTTGTAATTATAGTTGTCCCAATTACTTATTAATTTAACACAATAACTTATTAATTATGAATGTGAACTGAAGTTAAAATGCTTTTAAATTCAATTTTAGCGGCTCATATTTAGCAGATTGTGGCCCCGGGCTGCATGCAGTTGTAGCCTGGATGGGTGACTACAATAAAATTCAGACCAGTTGCCAGTCAGAAGTGAACAATTTTTATACCAGAAGCAGAGAAAGTGAGCATTCAGAAAACAAGTTACAGCTGTCATCAATATTGCAGTCAAAAGCAGCCAAGTTAAAGGTATACAATCAACTGACTCGTAGTTAGTATTATTTTTGTTTGTTTTCTTTTTTATATACTGTTTTCATCTGTTCATCATCATCTGTTGCTTATTAATGTATACTCTTTAAAACTTTCTTTTTTTTTCTTTCAGCTTTTGGAAATGAACATCTGCTGTCTGATTGCTGGCACTGATCTGTGATTGTCCAAGACAGGGGAGGTCAGTAAGGTGCTCAACATTTCATATGGATGTTTGGTCCTACTGTCTTTTTCTACTCTTGTGGAATCTTGGACATCATTGTCGGTGGTCGCATATCAGACAAAATCATCATTTTTTGAGAAAGACAGGTGTTTTAGAGAATTTGGATCAACTTTGTACAGAAATAGTGCTCCACATGACAGGTAGAATTTATGTACTCCAATTTAATAGAACATTCTCTACCCCCCCCCCCTTCCTGTTCTTAATAGTGAACTTCCAAGCAACTCCAGGACTAATTATATGTGACACAGGCATGGTATGTATTCTCTGTGTTGAACAATTGAATGTATGTATAAATGTGTTTTAATTGTTTTGTTCTTTGGTACCTTTGCAGTGCAGAGTTGCCTCCCCTTTTTTACAGCATCCTGAAGAATGTATGTAGGTAAAATGTACATTTAAATTCCTTTTTTTGTAAATTCAGAATTATAAAATCCAAATTTTCATGGAATTTATGGTATTTGTTGTCTAATCATGCATATTGTTACAAGAAATATCCATCAAAGGAGTCTAAATATGACCAGGGATAATCCAATTAGAGTTGTAAGTACCACTTCCTGACAGAGGCTGAATCGACCAGGTTGGATAATCTGCTTTTAACAAAGGTATTAATCTCTTTTCCTTAGCTTTTATACTGATTTTTCATAGCCTAAACATTGTAGAATTTTTTAATATTAGTTTTCCAAAAATTAAAATGTGCTAAATATTTTTATTTTTAATATTTTCAAGAATTTTATGCTTTTTGAAGGTATTTTTTGAAAAAAAAATTTAAAATATTTACTAAAGTAAAAGGTTAAGTTTTTTTCTTGAATATTGTGTAGGACATATTTATCTAGTTTACAAAAATATAAGAAAAGAAAATAACTGTAATATATGTGAGTTGTGAGCATTTCAAATCTGAGATCTGTGTGTCTACTGCTTATTTTACCCTCTGCTTTAAGGTGTTCCAGCACATTATTTAAAGGACCATAACTCTGTTTAGGGATCATCAATTTCAATGAAACTTCATCGGCCACTTTGTATAAACCAAATACACCAGCATGTCAAATTTCAGCAAAATCAGACAAGGTTTGTGTCCTTATTAGGTTACAGACTACTAATTTTACCCCTATTTCATTGACCACTCAAGTAGTTCCAGTTTAAAAATAGAGGTTTTTTCTTAAAAATTCTTTGGGGTGTTTATGGAGTAGAATAGGGTTATTTTTGGGCATAAATGGAAAGGAGAGGGTCTGAAAAAAATTATAAAAATGATAATAATGGGAAATTTTGCTTTTAAGTGCGTAGTAGGAAGGGTGTAAAGAGGCCCATATTTACCCTTTCCTCGAAGAGAAAGTGAAAAAAGCAGGGTAGGGGTTATTTGAGATGCCATAAAAGGACTTGCAGACTATGAATGTTCCTGAGAACTTGGTAAATTTTTGGACTTGAAATGGTCTTACTCTGTGCCAAGTTTCAGGTAAGTTGAGCCGGTGTAATTTTTTAAAATATTTTTTATGTTATAAAGGAATGTATAGCAAAATAATTGGTAGTCTGTGTCCTATCAGGTCAAAAGTCAAAACTCGTGTTAATCAGTTTATTGGCACTTTTCGGATAAATTGGAACTAATTATGCTAATTGTTGAAAAAATTAATGAATAAAATGATATTTTGGAGAAGTTAAATGGATTTAAATAATTGAAAAGGGGGAGGGGGCACCTGCTCATGTTGTCAAAGGGTATGACATAATGTGTGCAATTGATGTGTGTCAAGAATTTATGCAATATGAATTTTGATTCTTTATATAATGTTGTAGGTGACATAAAACCCATTCCCCACCTATCCTGTTATTTTAACTGTCAAATGGAGTTCAAAAACCAAGGTATGTTTTTAACATTTGATTGTTCAGATTACACTATATTGTTAGTAGGTATGAAATGCCTAATTTCTCAAAACTTAAGCTACTTTGTGTTTGTAATTATAGTTGTCCCAATTACTTATTAATTTAACACAATAACTTATTAATTATGAATGTGAACTGAAGTTAAAATGCTTTTAAATTCAATTTTAGCGGCTCATATTTAGCAGATTGTGGCCCCGGGCTGCATGCAGTTGTAGCCTGGATGGGTGACTACAATAAAATTCAGACCAGTTGCCAGTCAGAAGTGAACAATTTTTATACCAGAAGCAGAGAAAGTGAGCATTCAGAAAACAAGTTACAGCTGTCATCAATATTGCAGTCAAAAGCAGCCAAGTTAAAGGTATACAATCAACTGACTCGTAGTTAGTATTATTTTTGTTTGTTTTCTTTTTTATATACTGTTTTCATCTGTTCATCATCATCTGTTGCTTATTAATGTATACTCTTTAAAACTTTCTTTTTTTTTCTTTCAGCTTTTGGAAATGAACATCTGCTGTCTGATTGCTGGCACTGATCTGTGATTGTCCAAGACAGGGGAGGTCAGTAAGGTGCTCAACATTTCATATGGATGTTTGGTCCTACTGTCTTTTTCTACTCTTGTGGAATCTTGGACATCATTGTCGGTGGTCGCATATCAGACAAAATCATCATTTTTTGAGAAAGACAGGTGTTTTAGAGAATTTGGATCAACTTTGTACAGAAATAGTGCTCCACATGACAGGTAGAATTTATGTACTCCAATTTAATAGAACATTCTCTACCCCCCCCCCCCTTCCTGTTCTTAATAGTGAACTTCCAAGCAACTCCAGGACTAATTATATGTGACACAGGCATGGTATGTATTCTCTGTGTTGAACAATTGAATGTATGTATAAATGTGTTTTAATTGTTTTGTTCTTTGGTACCTTTGCAGTGCAGAGTTGCCTCCCCTTTTTTACAGCATCCTGAAGAATGTATGTAGGTAAAATGTACATTTAAATTCCTTTTTTTGTAAATTCAGAATTATAAAATCCAAATTTTCATGGAATTTATGGTATTTGTTGTCTAATCATGCATATTGTTACAAGAAATATCCATCAAAGGAGTCTAAATATGACCAGGGATAATCCAATTAGAGTTGTAAGTACCACTTCCTGACAGAGGCTGAATCGACCAGGTTGGATAATCTGCTTTTAACAAAGGTATTAATCTCTTTTCCTTAGCTTTTATACTGATTTTTCATAGCCTAAACATTGTAGAATTTTTTAATATTAGTTTTCCAAAAATTTAAATGTGCTAAATATTTTTATTTTTAATATTTTCAAGAATTTTATGCTTTTTGAAGGTATTTTTTGAAAAAAAAATTTAAAATATTTACTAAAGTAAAAGGTTAAGTTTTTTTCTTGAATATTGTGTAGGACATATTTATCTAGTTTACAAAAATATAAGAAAAGAAAATAACTGTAATATATGTGAGTTGTGAGCATTTCAAATCTGAGATCTGTGTGTCTACTGCTTATTTTACCCTCTGCTTTAAGGTGTTCCAGCACATTATTTAAAGGACCATAACTCTGTTTAGGGATCATCAATTTCAATGAAACTTCATCGGCCACTTTGTATAAACCAAATACACCAGCATGTCAAATTTCAGCAAAATCAGACAAGGTTTGTGTCCTTATTAGGTTACAGACTACTAATTTTACCCCTATTTCATTGACCACTCAAGTAGTTCCAGTTTAAAAATAGAGGTTTTTTCTTAAAAATTCTTTGGGGTGTTTATGGAGTAGAATAGGGTTATTTTTGGGCATAAATGGAAAGGAGAGGGTCTGAAAAAAATTATAAAAATGATAATAATGGGAAATTTTGCTTTTAAGTGCGTAGTAGGAAGGGTGTAAAGAGGCCCATATTTACCCTTTCCTCGAAGAGAAAGTGAAAAAAACAGGGTAGGGGTTATTTGAGATGCCATAAAAGGACTTGCAGACTATGAATGTTCCTGAGAACTTGGTAAATTTTTGGACTTGAAATGGTCTTACTCTGTGCCAAGTTTCAGGTAAGTTGAGCCGGTGTAATTTTTTAAAATATTTTTTATGTTATAAAGGAATGTATAGCAAAATAATTGGTAGTCTGTGTCCAAGTCAGAAACATTAGCAAGATGTTTTCTTCATTATTATTGATTGGCAATAGGTAACAGTTTGATTTCTAGATTTTATACATTTTCATAAGCGTTATGCTTCATTTTACTTACTCGGAATTATTCACTTTTAGTTTTAAAGCGTTAAACAATCATACCTTCTCTCATCGAGTTTACTACAGGGTGTTTCGTAATTTGTTAACATGTGTTTAAATGAACTTCACTTTCCATCCGATGCTAAAAGAATAAAGTTGTAAAATTAATATAAAGGAATTTGTTTCTCTTTTCCATCAGATATAGCAACCAGTAGAAAGCCGAGTGGCATACTACCAGCTAATTCCCCAGCCATTCACACGGTACAAAAGTGTGTGTGAAAAGTGGTGAGAGAAACACTGGATCCCGAGCCTCTCATTCAGCCAAGCGGAATGCCCATCGAAAAATATAGTTTAAGAACAAGAACAATCCCACACCAGGTTTTGGATGAAGAAATAAACACCAACTTGATAAACTTAACAGACCCTCAAACAGTTTCAACAACTAAAACCACACTAGGACTAAGTGAATCACCAATTTACACAACTGTACCTTCAGCAGACAGTATCAATACAACCCTAGGACTAAGTGACACTGCAATTTCTACGACTGCAACTTCAACAGTATCAGAAAGTGCCAGTGCAACTCTAACACTAAGTGAATCTGCAATTAATACAACTTTATCGTCAACAGTTACAGAGAGTGCCAGTACAACACAAAGTGAATCTGCATATACAACTGCATCTTCAACAGTTACAGAAAGTGCCTGTACATTTTCAGGTAACAATCCTTCTTCAACCTACATTACTCATAGTGCCAGCAACCTCACAACTGTGTCAACTAATGCATGTAATGTGAGCAGCAATCACGTCTTCACATCAACCCATACGGAAAAAAGGGGCAAACAAACTACTATAACAAATTACTAACAAACCACTATGGTTTGAAAGTAGTTTAATAGTATAGCAAATCACATGCAAATGAGCTAACAAACTATACTCTAACAAACTACTATCAAACCACACTTAACAAACTACTATCAAACCACTCTAACAAACTACTATCAAACCACTCTAACAAACTACTACCAAACCACTCTAACAAACTACTATCAAACCACTGTAACAAACTACTATCAAACCACTGTAACAAACTACTATCAAACCACTCTAACAAACTACTAACAAATCACTGGGAACAAATCCATCACCAAAACACTGTAAATTTGAATTTTCCTTTACAAATCCACAACTCTTAATTGAAAACACCTAAAACAATCACATTTTGAAATATTCAACAAGTCCTGTTTCAGAGTATTTAATTCCAGGATTCACAAGTTTAGCCAATGCAAGTGCAACATCCAACATGTTTCCTTTTGTTTAGGAGATGCAATTCCAAGTCAATGTCCATGTATAATACTTATCACATATTCTCCTTCATGTTATGTACATCTTCATAGTATTTTTCACCAAAAAATCTTCAAGCTGATGTCATTGACATTTAAATATTTCCCTGCTTCCTCTGGCATGGAAAAAGCTGCAATTTTTCTTTAATTGTTTCTGACCTCATTGCAACTTTGAAAGACATCTTTATTGTCTTATTTTCAAGTATACTTCCCATAATCCAATGCATAACTGATCTAAACTAGGATAGGAATTATAGGTCAATCTGAAAATGAATAAAAATCCAAAGCTAGTAAAATGCATATGCATCCACATTCACAGAAGGTACATTAATTACTTCATGACATGCATTAAATACCTCTTCTGTATCCAGATCCATCTTTTAATAATGTTAATTGCTGCTTATTCCAGTCAGGGATCATATAGAATGATACTATAACAATTTGAATGTCCCTTCACCAGTTCCTTTGTTTCTGACCTGCTTGGTGGTTTGAAAATTGGCGCAAATAGCTATAACACCGGATGTAAAGAGATAAGCTGTTCTTGGAAACTTCAACAATTCTAGATAATTCAACCCTAAACACATCTGTAAAGTAATTTCCCATGTGGTTAGATGCAAATGCTATACTAATAAAACACTGTTGCAAGATACCAAGTCTAACAAACTATAAAGAAATCACAATCACCAGAAATGAAAGACTAACAAACCACTGCAGCTATTTTTAGAAAAAGTGGTTTGTTAGTGGTTCATTAAATGCTATACTATCAAACTACTTTAACAAACCACAAAAGTATAGTTTGTTGGTAGTTTGTTGATGGTTTGATAGTAGTTTGTTAAAAATCTTTTCCGTTTGGGAACCCCACTAGTGACCACAAATAGTTGTACCACTACTGTTGCGAGTCAGTACTCAATCATGTCAGTGAACAGTACCCCAAATCATGTTCATCAATGTGTAACAACTTCCACTCCAAGAACTGACAACACAGCACAGTTACCAAAATTCACTGGAAAAGTGTCGAAAGTTAGTGCTAGCCAGTGGTGGACTTTATTTATACAGTGGTGCACTCTACACTCTTTCACAGAGGCACAAATCCTTAATCGTTTTGTGTTTCACCTCAGTGATCAGTCAGGGGTGGTACTGAAATCAGTCATTTTTGAAAATGATGGATAATGGTAATTTCTTCTAAGTATATAATGTACACAATTTTCTGATTTTTGTAAATATGACGTCTTTTCATCATATTTCCATTCTCAAGTCAATTTTCCCATCCCATTTACTACAGTAATTAGATATAGTACACTATCCTGCCATAGACCCTTGTGTAGAGAAACATCTTGACAAGTAATTGAAACCAAAATAATTTAGTGCGCCCCGTAAAACTAATGAGATAATTAAGTGCGCCCAGACCTAACAATTTGATAAAAAATGATGAAAAACAGTCATTTTTAATATCAGAGATAACTCTATTTCTAAAATAAATTTCAAAATAGAAATGACTGTTTTTCATCATTTTACTAAAAAAAGATGAATTTCCATCATTATTAAAAATCAATTTAATGACTGAAAATCATCATTTTTAAAAATGATGGATTTCAATCACACCCCTGACTGGTGATATGGCACAACAATGGTACCTGGCCCTCCCCTCTGCAGCGACAACCACACTCACAAATCTCAAGGAATCATTCTTTGCTCGATTTGGGAAAACAAAAAAACAGCTTCGACATTGATGTCCTAAACATACGCCAACAAGAGGATGAATCTGCAGAGGAATATATAACCCGCATTCAACAAATGGTTTGTGATGAAGACATACCAAACAGAATGCTTATTAATCATGTTAATTTGATTGCTAAAGGCTTTAAATCCAACATAGCAGAGAAGTCCTTGACAAAGATCCTGAGACCATTGAAGATCTGTTCAAATTTTCCAAACGAGCTGAATCAACCCTGAAAATTACGAAAGGTGACAACAACATAATTGCTTCAATTGAAAATATGGAAGAACGTTTGCTGTCAAAACTTACGGATCAACTTCAATCTGTGATGACAATGAACAAAACCGAAAAACCTACATATAATCGAGACCATAGAAACAGAGGAAGAGCCGCCAGACCCCAAAACAAACATTTTGATAATCATGATAATTCCTCAAGGAACTTTTATGGGAATAGTGATGAAAACTATGACAGTTATAATGTGCAAAATTCTGAACACCAGCCCCAGTGGGAACCTTACCAATCTCAGTGGCAGTCTAACCGAGGTCATTCAAACCGGTTCCAAAGACACCAGTCCCCGCGCCAGTTCAATGGGCCGTCCACAAGACCACAGAGCAGACACCAACATCCTGCTAACCGTCCAACCCGTTTCCATGGACCTGCTGCACCTCGTAAGTGTTCACGTTGTGGTTTTGATTATTGTGATTTACATAACTGTAGAGCTTTTGGTTATACATGTCAACTATGTTTTCGTTTAAATCATTTTGAACGTGTTTGTTTCCAAAACCCTGAAAGTCCATTTTTCAAACCAAATTTTTCTAAATAGGGACTCATGCCTACCTCTAGCATAGGTAGGCGCCTCGATAAAGAAACAAAACAAAACTCAGCAGAAATTAATTTAGCTACAAATTTAGTTAAGAATACTGTTTCTGTTTTTGTTAATGGTGTTAAAACTAATGCCCTTGTTGACACTGGTGCTTCTATTTCTGTCATTAGTACTGCATTTCTGTCAAAAACCAGTTTTGAAAACTCAGTGCTACAAAAACCTGATTTTGAATTTGTAAATGGTGTAGGAGGTCATTTAAAAGGGCTAGGCAAATTGAAATTACCAATTTCATTTAAAGGTGGTGCATTTTTCTTTCCTGTACATGTCATGGATAGATTACCCCACTCTTTAATTATTGGGCTTGATTTTTTGCAAAAACATCAGGTGACCCTCAATTTAGCTGAAAACACTATGTCTTTTTATAATGACTCAGCAAAGGTAAATGTTTTGAAGACTAACAGTGGTTTAGCAAGAGTAGCAAAGACTATTAATTTGCCCCCATTTTCTGAGAACATTTTGTCCGTCAGAGTGTCCAAACGATATTCAGGTGAAGAAGTCCTTCTAGAACCGACTCCTGAAATTCAAAGTCTAAACATTCTAGGTGCTAAATGTCTTGTCAAAATTAAAAATGGTCAGTCAGCTTTCAAAGTGCTAAATCCAACAAATCAAGAAATTCATTTGCAAAAAGGTAAAGTTCTTGCATGTGTTTCGGATGTAGATTCCAGTGCAGTTTACAACTTTAACAATGAAACAACTTCATCAAAACACAACAATACACAAATCAACATGATCAAAGCACATCAAAACACTGGCAATATACATTCAAAAACAGCAGACACAAAACAAAATCTTACCTTTGATCTTAACAACTCGGATCTCAATGCACAACAAAAACAACAACTAACACAATTTTTGCACAAGAACAGAGACATCTTTGCTACTGGGTACCATGAATTGGGACAATGTAACACCTACATGCACAAAATCGAAACACAACCAAATTCAAAACCCATCAAAATGCCATTCTACAGAACCACTCCTTCAAATAATTCTGAAATTAACAGACAAGTTGAAGATCTTTTGAAAAATGATATTATTCAGGAATCAAACAGCGAATGGCACTTTCCATGCTTGCTTGTCAAAAAGGCTTCTGGTGAATTTCGTCTTGTTACAGATTTCAGGAAACTGAACAAGATTACTAAACCTATGTCATTTCCTCTTCCTCGTCTGGAATGTGTTTTTGATACTATAGGTCAAAGTCATGCTAAATTCTTTACCAGTCTTGATCTCCATAGCGCTTTCCTTCAAATTGGTATGCATCCTGACTCTAGACACAAAGCTGCTTTCATCACTCAAAATGGTATTTACGAATACAAACGTATGCCATATGGGTTGATGAATGCTCCTGTCTCCTTTCAAATGGTCATGACTCAAGTTCTTAGAGGATTAACTTGGCGTCAATGTTTAATCTATCTTGACGACATTTTGGTCTTTTCTGAAACTTTTGATGATCATTTAACTCATCTGGATCAAATCTTTGCTCGCTTGCGCAATGCAAATCTAAAACTCAAGCCAAGTAAGTGTGATTTTGCTGCCAAAGAAATTAAGTATTTGGGACATATCATTTCAAAACATGGTGTTCGAACTGACCCCGAGAAAACCAAAGCTGTGAGTACCTTTCCTACACCCAAAACACAAAAGGACGTCAGATCTTTCCAAGGAATGTGTAACTATTATAGAAAGTTTGTTCAAAATTATTCTAAAATTACTACTCCTCTCAACAACTTACTCTGCAAAGATGTGAAATTTGAATGGACAGATGAATGTCAAAACTCTTTTGATTCTCTTAAAAAGGCTTTGCTGTCATCACCAATTCTATCTTACCCTGACATGAGCAGGAACTTTATTCTTACTTGTGATGCATCTTCATCGGCTATTGGTTTTGTCCTTGGACAGTTAGATGACAATGGTAAAGAACATG